CCGCCCGCCCGCCCATTTTCGAGTAAAGGAATAGATGATTTTTCGTAGAATCGTCATCATCGTCATCTTCATCGTCATCGTCATCTAACGAATGGTTACGAGACTTTCCGAGTGAAAATAATTTTACTATCCGATCGTAAAATATTTAGAGACGCAAAATTGTGTTCTTAGAACAAAACGAGATACTATGAAAAGAATACAAAAAAGGAGTGTTCCTGTTAGAAAAGGGGGAACGAGTAGTGGGGGTTGGGGGTGGAAGGGAAGGGTTATTGATAAACGACAAACGAAACTGGTCAATCGTTTCGTTGTTAATGGAAGTTTGGTTTTTTTTTTTTAAATTAATAAATATACATTATAATCGTTCTCCGATTAATCGTATAATCGAAAATGTGATTAAATTATTTGACGAAGGGGTGAAACAAATCGCGAAATAAAGAGCAACATAGCGTATAACACGAAAACGCGTTGAATTAGTTGAAATAGTTTTAAATATTTCACCCCTTTTCCTTTCCCGCTTTCGGTAGGTTTTCGAATTCGTGGTATCGAAATTATATTCCGATCGGAATATAATTTTTACTTACCAAATTTATACTAGATTCGTTAAAAGATTATATCAGGAACCGAAGATAATATAACTTCCCTTTCCTCCGACTACGAGAACGAACGTAGTTTTGACTTTTTGTCCACGTGCTTTTTGGTTAGCACTTGGCGAACAACGTAATTGCATGCTGAAATATAGCTACTCGATTTAATTTAAATCTATGTTCGGTGACACCGCTACTACACCGAAATTACTGAGGTAGATCTCGTATAATCTGCTACTCCACCTCCCTCCTCACTCCTCTCTCCCTGTTCCCACCATTCTCTCTCTCTTTTTCTCTCTCTCTCTCTCTCTCTCTCAACGAGTTACATCGATGAAAGTATTTTCGATCCAGTCCGTTTAATCTCCACCGGTTCTCTCTTTCTCTCTTTTATTCTGATTCTCTCATTGGTAATAATAAGAAGAATAAAACGTGCATATATATATATATATATATATATATATATATATATACACGTTTGTATGCAGAAATAATACAAGAATCGAACGTTAAACGACGATTTTGTTTTTGTTCTGTTTTTTGTTGATTTTTAGAACGGGGAGTCACCGCAATACGTGACGGACAGACTTCGACAATTCTCGGATCCCTTGGCAAGGTTTCAACCAATTAACGGTAAGTAGTATTCCACTGTCTCGAACTCTTAAATGTGACAAGACATGGAATTTCTAATAAGACTAATGTTTCTTCTATTCTCGAATGACACGAGTGTATTACTATGTGTGGAAATCTTCACACATCCGATAGTTTTAGATTGATATTTATTATTTTTATATCGCCATTCTCAATTTGACATCTCAAACGCGTATCTCATTCAATTCGATATCATCGAGGTTTATTATTGCAATTAATTCAATTCTTATTTATAGAAATAAATCGAAGAGAGAGAGAGAGAGAGAAATATGCTAACGCGATATTCGTACGCAATTCTTATTCTATTCGATTCGTTATTATTCAATATTATTTTGTTAATTTAAAAAAAGAAAATAATAAAATTCATCGATAAAGGATACGCGAGATTTGATCGTTAAACTCATTCGCGTTAAATAACGCGTCATTTAGAAATATTTTGACGAATATTAATGATATCTGTTTAGAATAATCGTTAGTTTTTCTTTTGCAAACATTGAGATACTCATCTGTATGTATCTTTTATATCACGTTCGATCAAACTGTTCCTATTATTGTTCACAAGCAAAGAACAAACTACCATTGTGGTTAATGAGTTGTTTCCCGTTGACCGAAGGTTATTCTTATCTCATTAAAATTTCAATTAATTTGAATAATTTTGTAAGAAAGTAATATTTTTTTTTTTAAAAAGAAACCAACGCGTGCACTAAGCTCTCTCTTTCTGAAATCCTTTTCCGATAACGAAAGTAATTACTTATCTGCCTGTCAAACGTTATATTCGAAGTATCCAAATTTTTGTATATTTTTCTTTTTTTTTTGACGAGATGAAAGAAAGAAAGAAAGAAAGAAAAAGGGGAAAACAAATTTTTTTTTTTTCGTAAAACTCCAACATCGAGAGTACTTAATAAAATTCACTTGGCAAAACCTCGACGTCTACGAGATATGATATTTTGTATCAAATAAAAGAAGCTTATAATGATCATGCTCGGGTCTTACTGTAAAAAAAGATTATGAACATCTGCTTCGCATAAGGCAGAATTTGTGAGACTTCTGCTACAGAAATATATACAACATATTACACACATATACACGTATATAAATGCATACACATTCACGCGTATATACACGTGAATACGTATTGTCGGTATAAGCTTGAAAGAGATAAAAAAGCGTTTGCATATCGAACATAACAGGACTAACATAATATATGACAAGAAACGATGCGGTTTTTGTATTCGAAGAATTTCTTCATAAACCATATAACTATGACATACATACATATATATATATATATATATATATATATATATATATACATAAAAATAAAATTATATTTTTTTATGTCTAGACGCGATCATATATATTAACTTAAACGAAATCATTCGTTTGAATAAAATATTTCGAAGTTATTTTGACAGCAACAATAACAAAAATAAGAAAAAAAAAAAAAAAATAAATTAACGTTTGGCCAAATCACAAAGTAATACGAAAAATGCGTAAGAGCTAAAATGGTAGGTGTGAGTAGTCTAACAGGTATTTTTAAGCAGATTAATGCTGAACACGAGGCGGAGCATTAAGCAGATCAGTATTAATGAGTTTTGTCACCCTTGAGTGACATCAAGATTCTATACGGTTACACTCTCAGTTTCTATAGATAGCCACCCATGAGCTTCTGCGATGTAACATTCCCTGTTATACGCGTTAAGCTCTCACGAATGTAGAAAAGGAGGAGGAGGAGGAGGACGTGTGCGTGTAAACGGAATGAATGAACGACAACACCAAGAAAAAATCTATCCGACAAAAGAAAAAAAGAATATTCTAAAGAATCTAAAAGAAAACAAATGTTAATTTTCGAATATATTTTCGCAATATTTGATGCGTTATTTTCCAATTCACACATGGTTTATCCAAGTCGCGTAGAAAAAGAAAGCACATAGACACCACTTTGGCTTGGAAAGAAATCGTTGGTCGATAAAGGAATAGTAAATGCTTCTATGTATGTGTATACTATATATATATATTATATATAGGTAACATGGGAAAGGGAATTGAAGGAAATTCAGTGAATTCCTAACGGTCGGAAACGATCTTCGATAACAGTTCGAAGAAAAATCGAGCTGTTTGGTTGGAAAGCTTATTTTTTTTTGTTGCAATGTAGTAAAGTTTAGTTACGCTTTTGTATCGATTCACTCTTTATTTCGATATCCTATTCTTCTTCTTCTTCTTCTATTACTATTATTTCTTTTTCCTGTGGAATATCTTTGGCGTCTACAAAACAACATCCACCAAACTTTCCTCCCTTTTCATTTCTTGATTTAACGTCGTCCCTTTCGAATCTTTTCTCTCTCTCTCTCTCTCTCATTCTCTATGAAGAGACAAGTGAACGAGTGGGTGAGCGAGTGAGTGAGTGAGTGAGTGAACGTTTAAAGAGAAAGATAGAAGATTTTAAAGGCGGAGGAAGTTTAAAGACGTCGCTGTCGTCGTCTACGTCGCCAAAGGCAGAAAGAGAAAGAGAAAGAGAAAGAGAGAGAGAGAGAGAGTTCGGGCGTTTCGGAATAAATTATTCAGGCGGCAAAAGCCACGCCGAGGGGGCGCGGCCCGATTTTCCGCTTGACTACTCGGCCAATTTCGACTGCTTGGTACGTCCCTGTCGCGTGGGAGTGAGACAGAGGGTGACAGAGGGTGAGAGAGGGAAGGAGATTGCTTTTAATCGTTCCCTTCTTTTATCCTATCCTTACCCTACCTCTCCTATTCTCTTTAGATGACTTCTCTTCTCTCTCATACTCTCTCTCTCTCTCTCTCTCTCTCTCTCTCTCTTTCATTTTCATTCTATTTCTCTGTGAATACGAGAGAGAGAGAGAGAGTTTAGCGATCCGTATCGTTTTGCAACGGAGTCGATTTCCTTCTGTATCTCGGATTCCCTTCTTCTTCTCTTCTCTTCTCTTCTCTTCACTTCTCTTCTCTTCTCTTCTCTTCTCCTCGTGTCGAGTGACGACGATTGTCCCCAGTACGATTATCGGAAAGCTTAACTATTCTCTCTCGCATACTGAACAACTATGAGCAAGGATTCTCTTCTCATCGACTGGTATCAGTGCCTATCTTCTATGACATATGTATACTTAGGTATGTATATTATTAGCTGTTATCAACGTACTACTTACGTTATTGTATTGACGCTAAAACTTCAATGGCGTATCATCATTTTTTGTCTTGATAAATTTATTTAGAAATAAAATTGAACATAACGAATATTGATAATTTTATTTATCGATAATCTTGTCCAGAATATAATATTAAAATATGTATTCACAGGGAATTTGGACGGTTATTAAATTTATATGAACGATTTATTTCGAACAATGTTGAACGTTTCATCCCTTTTTTGAGACTTCATTAGCAACTCGATCGTTATTGTTCACGAGTCAATATACATTTTATCTTTTTCAAAGTCATACATTTAAACTATACTTAACATTTACAATAGATTTTTTCCTAAGCACCTTTATATTATCACATGTAATCAAATACTACTGTTATTGATAATATTTTTTAAATCTTTCAGATAGAAAAGGGAAATAATTATTATTTCAATTTGAATAGTATATATTATTGGAAATATGTAAATGTATTTTTGATACATTCGTATTGTCATGAAATTATTTTGTATTATTCCGAATATATTCGAGATTCGATAAAAATTTCTTTATAATCGATTAGAAACAACGTGTTAATATTATCTCACGTATTACGCCTATGCTGGGTATAAACGTCGACGTGGTTGAACGGTTTCTCATGCTACGTTTACTACTACTACTACTACTACTACTATCACGTGCTGCCACTGTCCACCGTAATGAATACGCGGTTGCATCCATGCTGCATCCACGTTGCACCGAGTCAGCTCGTAACGTGGGGCTCTCTGTTCAACATCGTCAGCTAGAATTACGATTGTTCCGAAAACAAAGTGATACACGTTCCGATGTATTGCGGATTATTAGTTTCACTTGGAACATCAACGAACGAAGCTTAGGGCTTGATGATTGTCGTTACACGAACCGCCCTTTATAATCGTCCCTGTTATCCTACGTCCCTTAGATGATAACGTTTGCTATATATATATATATATATACACATATCATCGGGTATTAATCCACGTGGTTTTCCCTACACGCGAATATTATCTTCATTGTTATATATCAATTGATTATTCGTGATGGAAAATAAATACAAAATAATTAGAAAACAAAAATGTAAGAAAGATAACGAGTAGGGAAAAGAAAAAGAAGGAAGGGGGGGGTGGAGATTCGTGATAGAAAATAAATCGAAATAATTAAAAAAAAAGAAAGAAAAAATATAAGAACGATAATGAGCAGGGGGAAGGAGAAGAAAAGGGGTGGATAATGCAATTGTGTTGCAGTTTTAATTGAATCACGTTGAACCGCACGTTGTAAAGTGGGACCAAGGTGTAGGGGTGGGTGGTGCTGGAACATACAAGAGAATATCAACGGACGAACATATGTTCTCTATTAAATGATATGCACTGATGTGCCAACCCTCCCGCGAATGAACAGGAACTGTGAAACGAGTGTAAGAACGTAAATGATATAAAGAGACAGAAAGAGAGAGAAAGAGAGAAAGGGAGGAAGAGAGAGCGCCAGTACGGTTAACTCGCGCACGGTACTCTTCTTGGACATTTATCCGCGCTTCTATTTCCGTGTGACATTTGCTAAGTCTTCGTTTTTCCGCCGTGCCGAAAATGTGGCGGAATTAATTGGCCTACATTCTGAAAATAGACGAACGTATGGGTATTCGCGAACGCGCGTACGCAAAATCTCTTACGGGTTGTGTTCATTTAATTCCTTTTTTTTCCCCTTTTTTCCCCTTTTTTCTCCTTTTCCCTCCCCCCTCCATTACCTGTTTACTTTTTATTCTCTCTCTTTCTCTCTCTCTCTCTCTCTCTCTCTCTCTATTTGTCAAGGAGGAAA